TTGAAGGTGACAGGATTCTGCAGCTCTCTGCAGGAATGCATCAGCCTTGCACTCAGACCCACTGCTGTTGTAAAACAATCTTCACGACTCTTCAATGACAACAAAATTCAAACATTCACCAATATAATATTACAACATCCAGCATCCAAACAAAATTTATTAAACCTGCAAGGAAGCAGGAACATGTTATTCAGAACCAGGAAATGGGATCTATAACCAGGAAAGAAAAAAATCAATCAAAAAAAGCAGACTCAGACCTGACAGAGATGATGCAATCAGCAGGCAAGGATTTAAATAAGTTATTAAATATGTTGCAGTACTTACAGGTAAAATTAACAAAATGAGAAGAGAAACAGATGATGTAAATCTGAAATGAGGAACTTCACAGATTAGACAATGCAGAAGAGTAGTGAAATTGAAAACCTAGCAAGAGAACCCAGCCAGAGTGAGGCATAGGTAGCAAAAAAGATCAGGACCTCTGTGCTGTGTGTGATCTAACATACGTATGACTATAGTCTCATAAAAGAGGCACAGAGAGGACAAGCAGAAAAACATTTGAAAAAATGTCTGAAAATTTTCCTAAATTGGTAAACACTAAAAAATGACAGATCCAAGGAACTCAACAAACCTCGAGCAGGAAAAACAAACACTCACACCAGAATCAAACTGCTGGGACTTCTGTTTCTGTCTATGATGTACAGAGCTGGAAAGTGTCACTCCCACCTTAACAGCAAGGAAAAACCACATAAACTACAAAATCATCACTTTTCTTGAATTCATCAGGGATCTCAAAGCAACAAAGTATTTTTGTCCCTTCAAAGAAGAGACAGCATGCAAAGACTAGCTCATCTGTGACAGAGCCCAGGAGAAAGCATTATAGCCTGCCATATGGGTAAAAAGAATTTGGCTAAATTTTTAACAAATTGTTAAAGGCAAAGTTGGGGCTAGCATGTGGGGCTAGCAGACCCCCCAGGAGCAATGGAAACAAGAGGTGTTCGCACCCACTTGTGGGCTCTTCTGCTTATGAAACTGAAGAAGACAGGACCTGCCCAACACAGAGGCTGGTTCAGAAAAGAGATACTCTCCATCCCTCGCCACTACGATCCTCCACCAGGATAGCAAACACCAAGTAGTAACAGCAGACTCCTGCTAGTGGTGGAGAAAGACCATGAAGCAAACACCCCTCTGAGGTACCGGCAGACAGGCAATGCCAAAGCTGAAGGTGGAGAAGAAACATTAAAAAAAAAAAAAAAAAAAACCCAAAACACCAAAAAACCTGTGGCACCCCAACCACTACCCTAAGCACAAGGTAACAAGAGAAGAATCTCTAGCCAGTGGCACAGTAAAGGTAACAGTAGCAACAACGAAGCTTAAACTCAGCTCAACTCCTGAGCAGAATGACCCGACCCCCCTACCCGCACATTACAGGAGTAACAGCAGAAGCAGCAAGCCGCCTTCCAGCATAAATACCATTCCCCTCCATCTCTACAGATCCTAAAAATATTTAAAAGGTTAATAAGGGATTATCATAATTTTATGCCAATAAATTAAAAAACAAATAGTCAAATTTCTTGGCTCAAATTACTAAAAGTAGCTCAAGAATATAAAAGTTCAGTAGATCTATACCTATTTTAAAATTGATTACATCATTAAAACCCACAATGAAAACTCCAAAATACCAATCTTACACAAACTGTTTCAGAAAATAAAGGAGGAAGACACAATTCCCAATCAATTGTATATCAGTATTATTACCCTGATAACCTGAAACAAGGCAAAGAAAGACATTATGAGAAAAGATTATGGACCAATATCCCTTTTGTTAAAAGACACAAAATCCTTAACAAATCAATCATCATGACTAAGCGGTGTTTATCTTAGGAACGTTAAGAATGGTATAATGCCCGAAGATCAATTAATTCAGCATATTAACAAAAGAAAAAAGAAGAAATATATAATCAGCTCAACAGATGCAGAAAAAGCACTGGACAAAATTTATCACATTCCCTTTCAGTAAACTAGGAACAAAATGAAATTTCCTCAACCTGATAAAAGACATCTACAAAAAACGTAACAGTTAATGGTGAAAGACTGAACATTTTTTCTGTAAGATAAGGAGCAAGGCAAAGGCATCTGCCCACATCACTTATATTCAGTAAGTGGTCCTGGCCAGTACAATAGGGAAGGAAAAGAAATAAAAGAGAATCATACTAGAAAGAACAAAGTAAAACTATTTTTATTCACAGATGACATGACTTTGTATGTAGAAAATCTTAAACCTACAAAAAATCTACTAGACTTAATGAGTGAATTTAGCAAGATTCCAGGACCCAAGAGATCAAAACTCATTTTTATTTCTACAAACTAACAACAAACAATTGGAAAGTGAAAATTTTTTTAAATGTCATTTCCAATAGCATCCAAAAACATAAAATATAGAGAAAAATAAGAAAATAGATATTAGACCTACACACTAAGAAATATAAACATTTTTCAGAAAAATTAAAGACCTAAATAAGTGGAGAGATATACCATGTTCACTGAGTAGAAGACTTTATACTGTTAAGGTGTCAGTTCTCTCCAAATTCATCTATAGATTAAATGAAATCAAATCACAGGAGGCTTTTCTGTTATAGATAATTAAATTCAAAAATTTATAGAGGGGTCCTGGATTCAATCCTCATTACCTCCACTGAAAAAGTAAATAAATAAACATAATTACTTCCTCCTTGCAAAAATTAATTAATTAATTAATTAATATTTGTAGAGAGATGCAAAGGATCCAGAATAGTCAAAACAATTTTGAAAAAGAATAAATTTGAAGGACTTATTACACTATCTGAGGTCAAGAGTTAATAATAAGCTACAGTAATCCAGATGATATCACTTTAAGGACAGACATACATATCAAATAAACAGAATAGAGTCTAGAATAGACCACACATACATGGTCAGTTGATTTTTGACAAAACTGCAAAATAATTCAATTAGACAAAACTGTAATGTAATTCAATTTTTTTTAAAAAAGAGGGAGACAAGAGGGTCAGAGGCAGAGAGAGAGACTGGAAGATGCTACACTGCTGTCTTTGAAAATGGAGAAAGAGGCCACAAGCCAAAGAATGCAGGTGGCCTCAGAAACTAGAAAGGCAAGGGAATGGATTCTCCCCTTGAGCTTCCAAAAGAAACACAGTCCTGCTGACACCCTGAACCATTTCAGACTTCTGACTTCCAACACTATAAGGTAATAAAAGTGTGTTGTTTTAAGTCGTTAAGTTAGTGGCAATTTGTTCCAGCAGCAGTAAAAAATTAATACACATATATGACAAAGAACTTGTATTCGGAATACAATAAAAAATTTTCTATCTCAATTATAAAACCAACAACAAAAGAAGGGCAAAAGATTTGCACCCATACTTCACAATAGAATGTTGTACCCATATTTCACAACTGAATAGCCAACAGACACATGAAAAAATATTCAACAACAGTAGCCATCAAGAAAATGCTATAATTATATCCATAATGAAGTAACACGTACTTTCCAGAATGACTAAAATTATAAATACTAACAAACATGATGAGGTGGTGATAAGAATGTGAAGAAACTGTACATTACTCATGCATATATAAAATGGTACAACCATTTTGGAAAAATACTGTACCTAAGCCGGGGTAGAACATGTCCCCTTAAACCTGTAAATTAATTTCCTAGCAGCTTTATTCATAACAGTCAAAAACGGGGAACAACTCAAAATGGTCATCAGTCAGATAAACAAATGTGGCTTAGTCATATGATGGAAAACTACTTAGCAATAAAAAGGAACTAACTACTGATACACACAGCAGCATGAATGAAACTCAAAAACATGCTGAGCCAAAGAAGTGAAACACAAAAGGTACATGAATTCCATTCTTACGAAATTCTCCAGCAAGTGAAACTAACCAATAATGACAGAAAGTAGATCACTGGTTTTAATTAAGAGGATTAAGTTGGGAGCAGAATGACTTCAAAAGCACACAAGACAGCATTTGAAGTGATGGAAATATTTTGTATCTTGATTGTGGTGATGTTCATGCAGGAGTTTGTCAAAACTCATCAAACTACACTTAGGATCGGAATATTTTACTGTGTATTAATTATATCTCAATAAGATTGACTTTAAAAGAATAAAATGCCTAACCAAATTAAGTAGTCTATAGGTATCTGAAGCTGAGCTCTCCCCTTTCCATTTGTAGTACATGCCTACTTATGCTGTGGAATGGGAGAAATATGAGTCTATAGGCAGCTTGATGATACATCTATGGCAGAAATAGCACATGCTTACCTGTGGTGCTACATAATATGGGGTAAATTGAGGTGTCATCAAGTCACCTTGGTCAATTTTGGCAAATCCAAAGTCACACAACTTCACTGGGGCATCCTGAAATAAAACAAATGGGAGTTACTGCTCCAGAGTTCTCGAAAAATGTTAAAGGAAAATCCAGGTGCAAGACATGTTACCTTAAGCTCTCATGAGTTTCTAGCTGACACCTGAGCCTATGAATAGCATGTCCTCAGGTCTGGAGATAATGATTTATATTTAGGAACTGTTCTTAGTAATGCAGAAGTAAGGAATTTCTACCCAGTCACAGCCTTGTTTTATAACTTGTAAAGGCAGCAGCACTAAAATCAAGATCTTAGCCAAATGCGGCCTGACTATCTGCTGGCCTATCTCTCATCAGTGCAGGGTGTGCTTCACCCTTAACATCAGCTTCACGATAGCCAGAGCAGATTATTTGGTGGGACACAGAGCATGGGGCTAGGACTGCAGGGGAAAACACACCTTGTCAGGGTTAACAGCAAACACAACTATTAAATTTCAAGGTAATATATATCAGCATATAGACTCCTGCCCCTTCCCAAAGTCCCTCCAAATAATACCCCAAAATCTTAAGTCATAAAAATACACATTAGTATCATCCAAAATTATCAGTGCTGGGGTATGTGCAATTTCTCTGAGCCTCTAGCAAGGGAACAGGTGGGAAAAATAAGTTGCTTAAAGCACTTTGGCCTAAAGCTTCTTCACCATGGATTCAGAGCACTCCAAACACAAACACACCTACATACCATTCCTGAACTACGTTGAGAGTAGCAGCACTAAAATGCAGAAAAGCAAGTCATCTCACCAAAGAATTATCCTTGAAGAGCAGATTTTCAGGCTTGAGGTCTCTGTGCGCAATGTTTAACAAGTGACAGTGCTGTAGAGCCAAAGCTATCTGGAAAAGGACATAACGGAGCAACTGTATCTTAGAAAAGATAACTCTTTAATGCCCCTGGTTTAGAGAACTCAGGATGTTAAAAAATGATCTTTATTAAGTCAATTAGGACTGTGGTCAGTTTTCAGTTTTAAAGCAGAAGTCAAGTAAGACTTTGGATACTAAGAAATAGAAATGAATTAAGCTTAGCTTAACTGCAGCTTTTATTTTGTTAAACAAAAAGAAAAATACAACAGTAAAACAGTTCTCTGTCAAATAACCCAATGGTTAAATCCTGTATGAAATGGGAAAAATTAAATGCTTCCACTTCCGTTCATCTGAGATGTGACAAGCACTGCAAGAGCGAACGCTGGGCCAGGCAGGCTTCAGCAGGCCTGGGTCCCCCCAGCCGGGCAGTGGCACTGACGCCTGGCTCAGTGGCGACCTGCACTCTCCAGGGAGCCCGACTGCGAGCTCTGCCTTCAAGAACAACGGAAAGCAGATGAGCGGACTTTTCTACCTGATGTTGCAATTTGCCCATCCTACTTTTGAAAATGTTGCCTGTTCAGGTGGATTTGAAGGGGTCTGGTTTTACATAAGATTCTCAGAGCTCATCCTTTAATATTTGAAAAATACAAGCTGTAATTTTTTAATTAAAAAGAACAAATTCTGTCTGTTCTTCAACACGCTGTATGAAATTGTCTTGGCATTCTTAAGTATCAGTTCCTCCCTACCAGAAAGGAGGCATCAAAAAATGCTCGAGGCTCATGGAAACTTTGGAAGAATTTTTTAGTAAGAACCAGTTGGGCCATGTGTCCAGCCTCTTTGCTTTGCTTGCTTGGCCTGAAGATAAACCTTGACGATTCAGCTTTTCATCTCCTCAAGAAGTTATTTCCAGTTGGATTCCTAGCATTGTTTATGATGTAAATCATTCCTCTAGCAATAAAATGTGATGTCAAAATAAAACATAACCAGGAGTAACCCATAATTAAAATCTGATGAGGGAAAGGTGACCCATAAGCAAAAAGTTATCTTATATACTATTGTCTTAGAACATATTTTTACATCATACAATCTTTTAGGTAGTATCCGCAGCATTTTATCTCAAAGTCCAATAACAGTGCTTGGAAGCTATAATTATAAAGATTATCTACAGTCTAAAAAGTTGTTAAAATTACCTTCCTTCCAGAGTTTATTTAAATCTTATAATAGGCAAACAGTTGACAACCACTTAAGAATACAATCCCTCCTCAGAGCATAAAGAGGTCACATTCCTTCTGTCCAGGCATCTTTTCTAATTACATAACAAAGCAGGCAATGAGAGATCAAATAGAGCTTTTCAAGCTTTCTTTTATTCCCCCCAATGAAATTGTGCTTGTTAACCAACACCGTTGGCAGTTTGATTGGTACCCGGGGTTAACTTGCCTGCTTTGTTACTTGGCTGGCTTGCTTCTCTGTAAAGTGCCGGTGCTGGCTGATTCTGTGAAATAGCTCTCCCCCTTCCATCATCTCCATTACAATTAAGAGTCGAGCCCTGTTTGAAAGCATTTGATTTTGTTAAGTTAAAAAAAAAAAAAACTGAAACATCAAGTAGCTAACCTAGATACCTATCTACAAAGTGTGTAACTACGTCCTAAGCTACCAAGCCCCTTTGGGTTGGACCCCTTGTCACTACCAGCTAGTCACTATGAGTAAGGAATATCCCTGACCCAAAAGTTTCTAAGAAGCTAAAAGAAAGTAAAAGAATTAGTCTTGAAGGCAATGATCCTTTTGAAGATACTATACTTAACTTGTTATTGCTAGATGTTAAAGAGCGGGAGGTGTTTTTTTAAGTGACATGTTTTGTATATGTATTTTAGGAAAGCTAGACTGAAAGTATATTGAAAATAGAGTATGACTTTGTGTGGGACATGAATTTCAAGTCATTTGGTTGGGCTATCTTGGCATTCATTCTCCGTGTGTGTGTGTGTGTGTGTGTGTGTGTGTGTGTGTGTGTGTGTCCCTCTCTCTACTCCCCACCCCTACTCCACTAGTTTTCCATATGACCCACAGCATGCCCAGCAAGACAGCTGGATAGGGTTACACAGCCATTAAATAAAAGCAAAAATTCTCATGTTGTCAAAAAGAAAAAAATCTGAGTTTTGGTTACCATTATTTGATATAAATGCTTCCAGCTTGCATCCAAATGCTTTCACCAACAGAGCATAGTTTTAAGAAATAATCATCTGATTACCCATTTGTTTTACAAATTCATCTTCTTTTTCCACCTGGAAAACTCCTACCCACCCACTTCAAGTCCTAGTCCCCACATAACCACCTTGTGAGACACCTTGCCTCCCCAGCCTACAGAGAGCAGCTCTCCTCCTTTGTAGCTCAAAATATTTTATGGATGCCTCTCCTTGGTACCTATCACATTGCTACGATGACAGATTTATATCTCAGCACCCCGCCCCCCAACAGAAACCAAAACTTTTTAAACTTTGAATTCCCTGGAAGACTTAGAATTCCACCCAACATTTGGAGGGAAAAAAGAATGATGCTGATTTCTTCCTTGAAAAGGAATGTCAGACTAAGTAATAAGGAAGGGCCTTTATGCCATGTCAGCTTCTAAGACATTGCTTAGAATATATTTGATCCCCTTTTGCTAATTTGAAATAGAATCTCATTTAATTCCATCTTACATGCTTTTTCTAAAAGAGAAAATAATCACAATAATCAGGGGCTCAGGAGAGTGGGTGGGGTAAGATTGGCAACTGAGTTGTTAACTGCTGAGGGTGGGTGATGGGTACTTGGTGTCAACTGAAAACAATGCACAACCTAAAAGTTGAGAATTATGTTTTATTTGCAGGCTTTCAGAGGACTTCAAGCCCGGGAAACAGCCTCTCAGATGGCTCTAAGGGACTGCTCGGAAGAGGTAAGGGAGGAGCCAGGATATATAAGAGTTTTTGCAACAAAGACCAGGTAACATCAAAAGAATACTGTTAATTAAAGAAAACCAGATATCTCAAGTTAAGGAATTTAGTGCTTTTCTATGGGAAAATGCAAGAGTCTGGGCTCACTGAAATCATTCCTTTGATATGTACCTTAGCTATAGAGGGCCAGTATCCCGTGCTTTTCCATCCTGAGTTCCCTCAAGGCTCACCATAGTGGGGGTGAGGGGGGACAGCTGCAATCTGATGGCTTGATGGCTGCAACATCCTTTATTTACTATTTACTGATATGGCAGGCAGTATTTTTCATTCACATTGGGGATTCACTACATAATTCTGTCTTTTAAAAATATTTGAAAATTTCCAAAATAAAAAGTAAAGGAGAGAAGGAGAAAATGGAAGGAAGGGAGACAGGCAGAGAGGGAGGGAAGAGAGAGAAAGAAGGCACAAAAGAGCAGATGACCCCACTACACTTTGACTTACATATGTAGAGGTGGGCATGTGATAATAACCCCGTGTAGTCTTACCTGGGGCTGGACTCATGAGGAAACTGTACACTGTTAGCAAACACTTCAATAATTTGCACTATATTTGGGTGCGTGGCACACATCACGTGCAGACGTACCTTAAAGAGAACAGAGGAAATGTTTCTGTATGTACGGCATGCCAATATTTTCTCTCAAAACGTCCCCAAACTGACCACACTAGGCCTGAGGATGAGCCTAATACAGTAAAAAAAACAAAAACAAAAACAAAAACAAAAAAACTTATCACCTGGAATGATGAAAAAAAAAGTGTTTTCATACACAGATTACCTCCTTAATGCTGTTTCCATGGAAAAACGTCACCAACAGATTTACTTTGTACTATCCTAGGTATTCCTCTTATTTCAGAAATTATCATGTATCTCTGAACAAAAGAATTAAGTCCTTCATTGCGTATTATTAACATCACCACATCCAAATAAGTTAAAACACATCCTCAGAGCTCTCCTGCAGCACCCTTTCAGGCAATATTAACCAGAACCTTCCTTGAACTATTTTACCCCTACTCTTTAAGGACCTTTTCCAATAAGCAAAAACTAAATAGAAACCTGAATACTTCAGGGTCAAAAATCACATTAATTGAAAAAGAACGAAAGGTGGTTGAAAGGAAGCAAAACTCTACTAACAGCTTTTGGTATTGATGGATGCAGGACTGCTTTATAACGATAGCATGAATAGGGAAAAGGAATAAGTATGAACATAAAATTCCTTGTGCATCTCTGTATTCTCCCCAGGAAGCTGCCTTACTTGTAAAAAAAAAAAAAAAAACAAACTCTTGGGCACTTCAGATATTTAGGCAAGTCAAGGCGAGAGAGAAAGGACCATACCTCGTTTCTAGCTTTTGGACGATCCAAAAGAATTTTCAGTGCAAACCGTTCTTGGGTAGACTTCTTCACACAGACTCTAGATTTAGAGAAGAAATTCAATCAGAAATCACCTATGTTACAGTGAAAACTAATTTAACAAGTTCTTCTCTGAGAACTGTACTTCTAATCAAAAATATGTCCAGGCACATCAGAACAACCTGCCCCCAGGGCTAGCAGGTGGAAAGGCAGAAAGGCATCTCACCCACCCTTCAAGGCCTCAGCCATGTGAATCAACCTGAGGTTGGCCCAGATAGAAAAAATGGCCTCTGCTGGCTACAAGTGACTCACACAGGAGCTCCACGGTGTCGACATCTTAAATTATTCTGTTACAGACCATGTGACTCGGTCATTTACATATATTTCTAAATAGATGAAAAAAGCCTATCATAAATACTTCTACTTGTTAAATTAAGGCTATTTCACAAATCTGACACATCTGAGGCTTCTAACTTAAGATGTATTTCGAATGGCCCTTTTTAGAACAATTTTGTCATAGTTTGCACATAGGTCTCTTACCTAACTGGACCACTAATTCCAGCTCCCAGCTTCTGAGTCCAATTGATATTGTATTCTTCTAAAATGGAGGTTTCCTATTAAAATAAAAGTGGAGGGGGCAGAAAATGATTCTCCAATTAAAAAGCTGAATAGTTAAGCAGAGGTAGGATAACAGAAGACATTCATGCTCAACAACTCATCTTCTGAAAGACACTGATAAGCGGAGCTTTGTGTAGGGCTTTATAATCAGACATTTTGCCTAAATGACTACACTAGGTTAGGCATTGCTTTTCCAAAAAGGGGGAAAGCAAAAACATTACGATAAAAAGAAATTCTTCACCTCATCTGCAAGATCCATTTGAGTAAATACTCATTGTGGGTTTTTTTTTTTTTCCTGAAATGTGGGAGGAAGATACTCTTTCAAAATGCTTCACTACTAAATACTTATTCGCTCAAACAGACAAGTGTATTTTCTGAGATTCTAAAAAGACTGGCCTGATATATGCTGCTGTGGATACAGGGGCCTATATCCTTGAACAAGTTGATCAAATTGGAATAACTGAATGAACTGAGGCTTAAAACTTCAAGTAAAATAGTAGTAAATATCAGTAAATTTATCTAGTTTTCAACAGCACTATTTTGAGTACAAAAATACTCTGTCATATGCATTGTGTAACTATATTTTTATAGTTTTTTAAAATAGTTTCCAATAGCTTTCATAGTTCCAGATAGAGCCTCTACAGTTTTAATTAAAGTTTTTGTAGAATTCCTGTCTAGTCACTATATATTGAGCTTCTGTTGCCATATGTTTTTAGGTAAGAAAGCCATGTATTTAAATTGTGGTAGCCTAAAATTCATTTTTCAGGGTTCTACAGGTAGAATAGGAAACCAACTGCAGACCAAACTCATGAGACTTTCAAACTGCTTTTTTTGCAATGAAAATCGGATAAGCTATTATTAGCACCAGAATCCTGATTCCCAAGTACAGGGACGGAATATCTATTTGTCCATGTAACACAAATTCATTGAGCAGTTAGTAAGTGCCAGATAACAGGCTAAGTTCAGAGATGAAAATAGAGCTTCTGTCCAATGAATATGCAAATGTATAAAACGAGCTTAGAAGAGCATTCATCCGCACACCTTTCTGCTGCCAGTTCTTGATAAAAGGTTCCTATCATATAGTAAATGCTCAATAACTATGTAATGAATTGCTAGAAAGGTGGACTAAAGCCAGGTGATGGTGGGATATTGATTTGGGAGGGACCACTAAAATCATTACACAAACTCTCTTCTGAAAAACTATACAACAGGGTTAAGCGGCTTGTGAAGGTCACCTAGTGAGTTACAGGCACCGATAAGACTAGAATCTATGACTCTGGCCTCTTCCCCAGCATCATTCTGACTATAAAGGATAACTGCCCAGGCCCAGGCATTGAAGATTAGGGAGGAATCCTGCCCAGTTAGGGAGGTTCCAGGCTTTGTCTCTACTCACCATCTCCTAAACAGAATTCAAACCTACCTGCTTAACCTGTCTACCTCCTTCATGTTTCCACTGCCTAGCCAGTTTGATTTAGAAGTATTTGAGAAGACAGAGAGGAATGTAGAATTGGGAAAGAGGGAATTAGAGCAGTCAGTGCTTCCTGGTAGAGTAAAATCATTTGCCAAGCCTCTCCTCTCAACTCTAATGGAAATACACACTCATAGGAGACGCAGTGGAACAGAGAGATTTGTTCTATAGAATTATTTGTTATAAGCAGATCAAAGGACTCTTCATACGTCCAGTTCTGGGTTGTAAAAATAATATTAGAGCAGATTCCTCACTGCACTGGTGCTTATTAAGATGGTACTCTACCTAATGGACAGCCAAGAATTATAGAGGCTCTGACTGGAGTTGTGACACTTGACTTTGCAGAAGGTAAGAGAGGCACTGCCAGGACTCTCTACAGCCCCGATTCTCTCTTTTGTTTTTCAATTGAAGTATATTTGATTTACAGTGTTCTGTTAGTTTCAGATGTACAGCCGAGTGATTCGGTTATACATATATATCTTCTTTTTCAGATTCTTTTCCATGATAGGTTATTACAAGATACTGAATATCCCTGTGCTACATAGTAGATTCTTGTTCTTTATTTTATATATAGTAGTGTATATATGTTAATCCAAACTCCTAATTTATCCTTACCCCTCCTCTCCCCTTTGGTAACCATAAGTTTGTTTCCTATGTATCTGAGTCTATTTCTGTTTTGTAAATAAGTTCATTTTTATGATTTTTTTTAAGATTCCACATATAAGTGGTATCATGTATTTGTCTCTGTCTAACTTACTTCACTTAATGATAATCTCTAAGTCCATCCATGTTGCTGCAAATGTCTACAGCCCTAACTTCTGAACCCCATTTCTCTTAGGTCTCTTGTCCTCTTTCCCAGATTTAATTCTTGCGCCTTTGTTGGTAGTGCCATAAATACTAACCAGTGCTAAGACTTCACCAAGCCCAGCTGGGCAACAGAAGTGACACTCTCACATCAGCCAACTCTTCTATGTGTAGATGGCCTATTTTCTCACGTATTTGAATGACTAAGAGATGGTAGAAAGGCATGGGTCAATTTAGATACTCTACTGAAGAAAATTACGAACTACCTCAAAGGCATCAGTGACAAACACATTGACTGAGTTCTGCTTAAGAAATCCATTCGCTGCTTTAAATAAGGATATAGATACATGGAATGAAGTACCGTTTACCCTTGAACAAGACAGGAGATTAGGGATACTGACCCCTGCACTGTTAAAAATCCACATATAATTTAACAGTCAGCCTTCATATCTGTGGTTTCGCATCCGTATATTCAAACCACAGATCATTTAATACTGTAGTATGTATTTATTGAAAAAAGATCCACATATAAGTATGTTCAAACCTGTGTTGTTCAAGAGTCAACTGTAATTCCTGAGAATCCTTCTAGACCAAAGGTCAGCAAATTACAACCCACAGGCAGACCTATCCATTGCCAGTTTTTATAAATAACAATATTTACAAAATAATAAAGAAAAATAAATAATAAATATAATTATAACTAATATAAAAATAAAAATAATACAGTAAAAAGTAAATAATAGTATGTACTAGATTTTTAAAAGATCCAACTATGCTATAAGAGATACACTTTAGATTCAAAGATGCAAAGAAGTTAAAAAAAATGATTTCAACAAATAGTGCTGGAAAAACTGGATATCCTCAGGCAAAAGAATGAGGTTGGACCCTTACATAAAACCATATACCAAAAATTAACTTAAAATGGATCAAAGACCTAAATATAAGACCTAAAACAACGAAACTCTTAGAAGAAAACACAGGGCAAGGGTTACGCAGCACTGGATTTGTGACAAAAAACACTATTAATAGAGTAAAAAAGGCAACCCACAAAATGGGAGGAAATATTTGCAAATCATGTATCTGATAAGGGATTAATATCCAGAATGTATGGAGAACCCCTAAAACACAACAACCAAAAAACCCAAACAACCTGATTCAAAAAATGGGCAAACAATTCAGACATTTCTCCAAAGATACACAAATGGCCTATTGCACATGAAAAAATGCTCAATGTCATAATCTTTAAGGAAATGAAAATCAAAACTACAACAACAACAAAAAAACTACAATGAGATATCTATCACCTTGAACCCCTTAGGATGGCCACTATAAAAACAATTTTTTTTTAAACAGAAAAGTACAAGCATTGGAGAGGATATGGAGAAAACTGGAATACTTGTTCACTGTTGGTAGAAATGTAAAATGGTATAGCCACTGTGGAATATAGCATGGCAGTTCGTCAAAAACTTAAAAATAGAATGACTATATGATCCAGGAATTCCACTTTTAAGTATAAACCCAAAAGAACTGAAAGCAGGATCTTGAAGAGATATTTCTGTGTCCCTGTTCAAAGCAGCATTATTCACAATAGCTAAAACATGGAAGCAACCTGAGTGCCCACAGAGGGACAAATGGGTAAGCAAAATGTGGAATACACATGCAGTGGAATAGTATTCACCCTTAAAAAGGAAGGAAATTCTGCATTATGCCATAAGATGGATGAACTTTGAGGACATCATTAAGAGAAATAAGCCAGTCACAAAAGGACAAATACTATATGCTTCTACTTATATGAGGTACTCAGAGTAGTCAAATCTGAGACAGAAAGTAGAATGGCGGTTGCTAGGGGCTGGAGGGAAGGAGGCAATGGGGAGTTATTTTTGATGGGTACAGTTTCAGTTTTACAAGATGAAAAGAATTATGGAGATTGATGGTGGTGATGGTTGCCAAACATTATGAATATATTTTATACCACTGATCTATATATGTAAAAATGATTAAGATGGTAAATTTTATGTTATATTTACTTTACTACTATAAAAAAAAAAGAAAAAAAAAAAGAATGGGAAAAGACATACCACAGGTAACCAAAAGAGAGCTGGAGCAGCTATACCCAACAACAGACAGAATATACTTTAAAACAGAGGTGTTAATAGAGAAAGAGAGGCACCTTTTATAATGATAAAAAGGTCAACTCATCAGGAAGATATGACAATTATAAATATAGATGCATGCACCCAACAACAGAGTTCAAAAATACATGAAGCAAAAATTGACTGAACTTAAGGGGAAAATAGACAATTCAAAAATAATAGTTGGAGATTTCAATAGCCCCATTCTCAATAACAGACAAACTAGACAGAAAGTCAGCAAGGATGTAGAAGACAACACTATTAATCAGCTTGACCTGTTATCTACAAAACTCCATTCAACAAGAGGAGATATGTATTCTTCCCAAGTGCACATGGATTATTCTCCAGGATAAACCACATGTGAGATCTTAAGTCTCAATAAACTTTTGAAAATTAAAATTACATAAAATTCTCTAACCATAATGGAATTAAGCTATAAATCAACAGAATGAAATCTGGGAAATTTTAAAATGTGTAGAAATTCATGGGGGGAGGGTACAGTGCAGTGGTAGAGCACGCACAAGGTCCTGGGTTCAATCCCCACTACTTCCGTTAAATAAATAAATAAATAAATAAATAAA